GACGGTCCCACTCATGTGAATTCCCAACTTCGTTAGTTCTACAGCCAGATCGAATGAGCTGAACCATCATCATCATTCATCATCATCAACAGCATTACATCAGCCATTTGAACTGATGCTTCGCTGCCATACAACCATGAGGACCTATGAAATAAAGAATAAGTAGAGGGAGAGAAGGGGGACTTGCCTTAAAACCTTACTGCCCTAAGCAAACCTTGTGTTAAAAACCTACCGTCGCAAACAGCTGGCTATTGTGCAAAGATAAGGCGGCATCGGCGAGACAGCTTCCTTGCGGCTTTCACTGCCGCGCGTCATAATCAGTCATTACCCCGCAAATAACTCAGCACCTAACACACTTTAAACAGGCAATCCGATTAGGAGACGGCAGCAGACGCGCCATTGGTGTCTACTGCGAGCCATGTCCTGTCAAGTCTCAAGCCAAGCACAAGGCGAGTCACGTGGACTCCAGCCCGTAAGGCGAGACGGACCAACGGTACCCAGTTTGATCGTCAGTGTCTTCATTTCCCGTTGCCAAGTCAACTTCTGTCCACCGCGAGCCTTGCGCCACCCTATACCCGGCAGACTAAACAAGGCCCTCCTATGTAAGCGATGACCAGGCATACGTAGCACGTGCCCGAGCCAACTCAACTTATTCAGTGCTATCTGTGGTTCTAGGGAGCTAGCATGATTATCACCACCTAGTACTCGCCTACGCACATCATCGTTGCAGACACGCTGGTGCCATCCGACTCCAGCAATGCTTCGCAGACAACGATGATCAAAGACTTGAAGGCGCCTCAGATCTTCAGACCGAAGTGACCAAGTCTCACTACCATAGAGCAGAACGGCCCTCACTGTGGCCTTGTATACACGGCCTTTCAGACGAAGAGAAATTCCGTTTTGTCGTCAAAAATGCCGCAGGTTCAAGAAGGTAGCTCTGGCTTTTGCAATGCGTGAGCTGACGTCAGTTTTTGTGCGCCCATCATTGCTGATGCAGCTGCCAAGATAAGTGAATTGATCAACCACCTCAAGTTCCTAGTTAGCAAGCGTCAATGGGTCATCAAGTGGCTGGTGGTCCTGCAGCAACACTTTGCACTTTGAAGGTGCGAAGTGCATACCAAATAATGGGACCACTTTGGACAGGCTATTCAGGGTTGATTGTGCCGCCGCAAAATCGTCGAAAAGCAAGACGATATCGTCCGTATAATCTAGATCAACTAACCTTTCACCAGGCAGCACTTCAATACCTACATCGTGAGATTCCGCAAGGGAACACTCCATGGTAGAATCCACGACGAAATTGAACAAAAACGGGGAAATCGGACAACCCTGACGAACGCCACTTGTAGTCGGAAAGCTATCCGATAGGACACCATAGACCCTGACGCGGCCTGTAGTGTTCGAGTTTAGTGCACGAAGGATGTTTACATCGTGGGAACACCTTTCCGCGCAAGTATTTCGAACAGAATCGATCGATCGACTGAATCGAACGCAGTCTTGAAATCGAGGAACACAGCTATTGTCGGTCTGCGGTATGCGTGGCGCTGCTCTAGCACCTGCCGCAAAGTAAATATATGATCTATACAGCCACGTCCTGGAGGAAACCGGCTTGCTCTTCCCAAATCCGAGATGCCCGTTCTGCAGTGAGGCGACGAACGATAATCGAGGCCAGTAATTTTGTCACAACTGACGTTAGGCTAATACCCCTGTGGTTGGCACAGTCTGTGCGACTGCCCTTCTTGTATATTGCCACTATAATTGATTCTCTCCAATTAGCCGGGACGCTGTCTTCTTTCCAGACACATTCGAATAAGGAGGTCAGTGCTTTGCAGAGGACCTCACCTCCATCCTTAAATAGTGCAGGTGGGAGGGAATCCGGGCCAGCGGCACGAAAACGATTAAGGGCTGTAATCGCGTTTCGGATCTCGGCCTCCGACGGAGGTTGAACCAGTTGTCAATAAATAACTTCTGGTGTTTAGGCAAATCTTCAACTAGCCTATGGACAACATTGCTACTTATGACTAAGGGACTATCCTTCACATTTGTCTCCTTCTCTACATAAATTTCAGTCATAGGCAATCCCACTTACTCTAGTTCGTGTGAATACCTTGATACCCTATCGGTGTGGTTTGCTCTTTAGATATTATAGCATAGAACTCATGGGACTAAAAGGGGTTCATCCTCTCATCCATTGAAGTATATTCCTCTGGTTCAATTTTCGGAAACTTTTATCGTGGTGATTCCAAAAAAGATCTGATTTTGAACAGTTTTTCATAACCATTATGTTCTCTTGGGACCATGTTATCATTATTGTTCCCATGCAAATAGTTCCTCAGCTTGCAGAACCGATCACGTGACATGGTACTTGCAATACCTTCGTAGCGTTTAGATGTAGCCCAGTACATTCTGCATTTCGACACATGAACACTTCCAGATACAATATAAATACCAAATTAGCAAACATTTAATCACTGTCGAGTTGATAGACTTCTGTTTTTTGTGTGTAGAATACAGGTTTATTTGATAAACCAAATTTTCAATGATACTGCTATCTATAATTTTTTTAAAGAAATTCTGTGAACTCATGTTTTCATTTGGAGGAGCAGAAAAGTTGAAACGATACGTCACCTATACTGGTTCCATCTTTTTGTCTCACCAACACTTATTCCTTATCTCATGTACTGGAGACTCGGCTTCATTTTGTCTTCCAAGTCGCACATTGAGGCGTGTGTCATCTTCATCATTGCGCTCTTTTTCATCACTTTCACTATCAGTTGCCACAGGAATGCTGTAGGTGTATACGTTCCTAATTTCACCTGCAACATCCCTGTCTTCCAAAACTTTGCCCCGAACAGCTACTTCCAGCGCCACCTCCTCATCTGAAACATCTTGAAAATCCTCATCTTCAACATCTGGCATATGAAGGCTTGCTCGAGCGCAAATCGCCTCGACATATGCTGAAAGAAAAACGGTTGTAAAAATAATATTATATTGTAAAACAGTAGATCGGAAAATATCCAAAACCTGCCTAAATCTTGTATCCAAAAAATAATAAACAAATGTCTTACAACACATTCACTGTCTACTTAAAATCTATGTATTATATATTTAATCCCTATCGAACACTTTACAAGTGATAGAAATCAACATAAGAAACTGACTAATTCGCCAAATATCAACCAAGTCCCTTATAAACAAAATGTTCCACGCACTCACATGTATATGACCTGTTGGTTCCAAATGCAATCACTACATTTTGGTTTACAAGTACTCCACTTGTGAGCTTATGTTCAATTTCCTAATAGACACATATTATCCTTCAATTATATAAGTAATAAAGAACTGACGTTGACAAGCTTTTTAAGTAAAATACATATCTGAAGTAATTTTGGACAGTTCTAAGGAGTCGGACAGACGCAACGTACTGTGTGCGTCAGCAAACAAAAGTAACATCCATTCACGCCTTAGTTCGAGCTGTAATCGGAAATTGCCACCACTTGTCGGCAAGGACCCGTAAATTCTCCGTACATTAACATTTGGAAACTTGCGTCACATCGTTTGCGATGTCATGGGCGGTAGTGATTACAAATGGAATCACCCGAACAGAAAGGGTTAAGGTTTTACGGTTGGTCCCCTTCTCTCCCTCTTACTGTACTTCGTTCAGTAGGTCACCATGGTCGTACAGCAGCGACGCGTCAGTTGAAATAGCTGATGTGTACTGTTGTTGATGATGATGATAAGTTTCACTAGATCACTCAACTTAACAATTACCCATCTATTATGAGTTGGCTGCCTATTTCCCGACTGTTCTGTTCATATACCCAGGAAGTGTGTTACCCAGGTGTAGGTTCGCTTCCATACACTAACTGTGTAGTCCCTCATTTCTGTCAAGCTCATGAGAATAACCCCACTGAAACGACAGTATTTTTGCTTGTATCCAGGAGGCAGTTAAACCTCCCTAGAAAAGCCATTATTTCCATTGGAAAACGATTTGAACTATTAGGATGCAGCCGAAGCATCAAGTCGTTTCATGAACATTCACTTCCATCCCCTGAAGTGCGTAGCTACTTCTTATTGGCTAGGGGAAATGAACAACAGGTCAGGACACCTGAGGTATTTGTTCTGAGGCGTAAACAATCCTGTCTTTACCTGTAAATATCCATTGATTTTACACCGTTGGTACCCGTTTTCGGTAGCTACCCGTCCAACACGCTTTTGCAACAAATCGTCGACTTCTGATTTTGACTGGGATTTGGAATTTACAGGGGACAACCTTGGTTTGCTCGGAATCTCATCCAACAGATTGCAATTCTCGCTCTCCTTCATAGTGATGATTTGTGTTTTTCTTGCCTAAAGCTATCGACTTTACAACATTTCAGCTGACTCACGGAAGATTGTCGATGTTCATGTACATAGTGAAAACAGTTTGTCACACAATCACTGCAAATATATCGACCGGTTGCAGAAAGGTTTGCTCGCCTAGCTCGCAACCCTCAGATCACCGGTTCGAATCCGCGTAGGGACAGGCGTTCTCGCGGTATACTCAGCCCGCGCGCGATCAGTGGTGTCTCGCGTGGCAGCGAAGCGTCCGTACGTTGTGCCGGCATAGTGCTGATTACTCTTCCTACTCCGTATGCAAATATCTGTTCTCACAATTATCATTCACTTTGACAACATAGCCTTGAGGGGTTGAAACCACATTCTAGTGATATCCGAGGAAGTGCTTAGCATTAGTCGCACATAGACGAACCGCCTGAACAGTCAGTTCAGGCGACAGCGAATTACGACGCTTTGAGCACACTTGAATGTTGTGCAATTCTTCTCGGTCTTTTTCACACTGTATTTTCTGTTTTGTGATAACCGCAACCTAAGTAGTCGGATGTTAATGGTTTATCGCTTGTATCCCGGCTGAAATTCTCTTGGTTTGTTTGATGGTTGATAATGGATGAACTATCTCTCGCTTTGCTAGTATACTCAGTACTGACTTCAATTTTCCGTAGATTTCTTGCCTCGTGAGAAACTTTATGGACCCAAGACTGCCCTTGGAAACAACTTGCCAACAGTCATAATTTACGGGGATCTGAGCCAGCGTGATTTTTATACATGGCACAAACTACTCAAATCTTTCAGCGAAACAGGACTGTGTATCTACGCATTCAGACATTATTTCAAAGTACGTCTCATATCCTCCGTGTCTCCCACTAGTTTTCGTCAGCGTTCCTCGCGTTCGCCCCATTCTGTATGATGCATGAAGTTTTATTGTGGATTCCATGGATTCTCCTCTCTTGCTACGTAGCTTTTCCTCACAATTTCACTGTACCAGCGTTTTATTTTATGGTTTCATGATTCGAACGCAACCTTGTAGAACGAAAACGAGCCTACGCCAAAACGGCCGTCTAGGAGATGGAAAAACGTGCCTGAATGGCCGGATTGTAATACTGACCACCGAATGTATGAGAGTATCCTCTGAGGTCTACTGATTCTTTTTGCTGTATTTTTTCTATTCCCTCCGCTCTTCGCCAAGTGCTGGCTGTGCGACACGCATGCAGACCATCCGTTGTGGAAGTCTTCATTGTTTGAAAAGTCGCTTTCGACTCATTTGACTGTGCTAATGGCCGAAAGGATTGCATGTCTGGCTCTCAATCCTTAAGTCATCGGTTGGAATCCGCATAGGGGCAGACGTCCTCGCGATATACCCAGCTCACACACCACCGGTGGTTGTAGGGTGGCAGCGAAGTTTCGGTACAGTGTGCTGGCGTAGTGCTTCTGACTTTCTTTTTTACACTTGACTGTGCCAGCTTGTCGTACTGCCATCGTTGAGTAGTGTGTTTCACGATTACAAAGCGTTGGGCTGAAATTTCGCCGGTTCTTGATATCACTGAATAGCGACTTAAAATGATTGATCGATTTCACTTGCGTCGGTAGTTACGTGACCTCCAGTGGCAACCTCGCCTAGGAAGCCATTTCATTTATCATCAACACTTGTAACTCTTCAGAGCCTCAACCATCGGTGGAGACGACAGGATTTTAGCCTGTCAGTGAAATATGAGAAATATAACGCTAAGGTCGGAATACACCTATTGTCCTTGTTTAATCAACGATGATTTTGAAGTAGTGCTCACAATCGATGGGACATTGGTTGAATAATGCTGAGGTCCACCAACGAGTTTGTGGCGAAAATCCTTCTAGTGTTACACTCCAGTGTTTGCTGAGTCTTAACCTCTTATGTTGGTTAGGTCTTATCCTCCCTATGTCGGCGGACCGCCTTCCTCGACTTGCATTATGCGATGTCCCTGCAACAAACTGCGCGAAAGGGTGATTTGGCCAGTCGGGGACGTGGCTTAAGAACATGAAGGAATCGATCCAAAGACTTCGTCGTGGTGGCACATACCAACTTCGTAGATGGCTGTCTCGAGATGGTTCACATTGGTGGTTGGGGAGCTTATCCGACATGATATCGTCACAGAGGTTGCGGCGCCCTTGTATACGGCTTCTTGCACATTCCAGCCAACACACCATTTCGACTAATTTTAATCACATTTGCGGACACCTTTTTCTTTGTATTCTGTTTGCTTCCCTAAATCACTACCCTCATCATTTTTAACGCTCTCTATTTTGCCAACGTAAATTGTGTCACATGGATCCATCCTACTCCGTTGTCGGCTGAATAGCATCCGTTTTCTATCTTGTGTCCTTGGCATTTGCCATACATAAACATACCACAGTCTATTAATTTGCTCCCAGGATGGAATCAATTAGGGACTACAATTTTTCTAGTAGGCATCTGGCACTTTACCTCTTTTTGTCGGACGTTTACTACACCTCGTTAGGTACAAATCTATGATGACTCGAATGTCGCTTGGCATGGAAACCGAAATGCCATATTTCACGGTCGCTTACCTTCACTTTGAATCGGGACATTGAGACCCACAACATCAATTGTCGTATGCTTCTCCCAAACCGAAACGGAGCAGTCTCGTGTTCGGCGACTCTCTTACTTTCAACTCTTAATCTATCCGTGCGGTCATCTTGGTATACTTTGGAAGTTTTATCGGAAAAACATTTTGTTTTCTACCCAACTCTTCCCTTCCACATCACTCATCTTTTGACGGCGCCAGACAGTATAACTTACGTCACTGAGTTCCCGTGCTCAGATCGCAGTTGTTGGCTTATCCGGACAATCGATTCAAGTGCACAAACATCAAGCATCTGTTTAGCACTGGCGACACGATCAAAAGTGCAGGAAAGCATTTACAAATTCCATACACGGCTACACACGCCTACATGCCCACATTCATGCATTCATATATCAACATAAGTGACAACCCTATTGTTCCACTGTACATTATTTGAGCACATTTTTGTACTCTTACCATGATCATACCTGTGCACGCGCGCCTCGCATAGTCGAGAATAAACTTTTTGTTTATTTATTTATTGAACAAGTCACTTGCTAAACATGAGCTTAAACTGGGGAGCCTGGCGTACTCAGCGGGCTCAGAAAATAGTGGAAGCAAGGATAGGGATTAGCAGCATTTGACTCTTCAGATTAATCCTCGTTACCGTTAATGAGGAGCTCGGAAACAACACACCTCTGCCACAATTCCCAATGAAACACGCCATCTGGTACGTTGGGCGTGGTGTTTGCATACATGTATATGCATTTGGCTCGGATTGTGAGCTTCACCTGTATCTGGAGTTCGAAACGCGGCCATGGAACTCGGTAGTTTCCACAACACTGCAGCGGATTCTGTCAAGCCCTCGATCTCCAATGATGAAGATGGGATCTTGTTTGTACAAGCCTGGAAGGAGTGGACTGTCCCTGCCAAATGGGACGAATGGGTTACGATAGCTGTTCTTGAGAAAAAACAGTCGTATCGTTCTTTCTAATCACAATGTATCCGCTTGAAGTCGCACCATTACTGGCTTTCATTTCCGGCCGCCATCTTGCAGACAAAAATAATTTCGGTCGAGAGAAAATTGATTCTAATCTATATGGGTGCGGTAGACCTCGCAGTATCCACAGCCCCTGTTCGGCAGTGGTGATCACGCGTCAACGAAGCCTCGGTATAGCTTGCCAGCGCACGGCTACTGGCTTTTAATCCCCATCTAACATTATCTTATACTCCATCATGGATTTTCCCCTATAAATTCTGCTGATGTAAGTAACTAGGTGTTTTCCAGTGGAAAACTGGTCCATTTAAACTATAGACCTTTTTCTTTGGCATTCACAAAACAGCGCAGGCAGCCTTTGGGCGATTCTTTAAATTGGTCTTATCCTTGGCACGCGCTTCGTACCTCCTTGGGGCATGGTAACGTTGCAGGTCCACTACCTACAGGTTAGTTCTTTAACCCGAAACAGTGAGGATCTAGAAGAAATTGATCAATTTAGCTATCTTGTAACTTGCGCATGAGCGCCGCTAGAAGGCGGAAGAGAAGAAGAAAAGCATCATCAGCACGCAGATGCCAATTGGTGACGCTTTGATTGCTAGGAGAACGCCTAATACTTTTGGTCACCTTCCGGTCTGCATGTAGCAAGAGCTGGAACCGCTTTCTTGAATCTGCTACGCATTGGGCACCAAAAGATGAATTCCCTTGATCTCAGCTGCCATGTATACCAGATCAGGATAAAAACCACTTTCTATGGCGTCTTTCTGTTTTTACCATTGCTGTCCACAGTGCATCTCATGTATTGATTCCCACTAGGATGTCTACAGCGATGACAAAAGCATGTACATGCTGAACTGCGGCACTCATTCGTTCGATAGATCGACAAATATTGCTTGGTCACGTGCACATGTCCTCATCCACTGCTTACCGAGGAGAGCCTTGTTTTGTGTTCTTTATGACCTGGGGTTCGGGGGCGGCAATCATGCACTTGGTGATTGGAAATAATGTGTCTGTCTGTCTACGGTGTGTCCGATTTGTCTGCATCTATCCCCGCAGTTCAGCCATGACTAGTACCTTTCAATAACGCACTTGCGCCCATATCGGGAACACCAGCATCTATAACGCTTGTCCGGCTATTCAATCGGCATGTCAGCAAAAGGTAGAGCAAAATCCATGACTTCGCACGCGATTGGGTAGGTAGGCGCGGCTCTGCGAGTATTTTCTGTCCAATATAAATCGCGGATTGGGTAGCCGGACAAGCGTTACAGATGCTGATGTTTCCGAGATGCGCGCAAGTGCTTGGTTGAAAAGCCATCTTCATGACTGAATTGCGTGATAGGTCCAGGCATATCGGACACACTGTAGACTGTACGATACTTGCACATTTTACCCTCCATGTTGGAGTTCACGCGCGCTCCACTGAGGTTATTATAAACCTAACTTGCAGCCGTCGCCCCTGTCGCATTTGCTTTCGCCCCCCGTCAGGCTGTCTGTGAAAAATATCTATGCTGCTGCTGCTCGCCTCATCTGCTTTTCCACTACAGTCCACGTTGTGTTCACGGTATATAAACACGTTGATCCTGATCGCTCTGAAATTTTATGACGCATGTCTTTTCACATCACTTGTCACTCTTTATCAATAGACTTGGTAGGTACCCCTAAAAAGTACTATTGCATCTCTATTGTTGTTGCTGATTATGGTTGATTGCTGAAAACGCGAACTGTACTTTGGTTCAACTCACTGATTTCGTCCCATGGCTCTTTGGATTATTTTTCAAAACATAACCGTTGTGTCTGTTTGTTCATTCTTGGTGAGGCTTACGCGCCGTTTATATTTCGTGTATTTACCAACACACCCATATCTTTTCTATATTCTCATCAAAGGACATGCGCTCGGCACACTGACGACCCTATAACAATTGTGAGCGAACTGCATAGATTCTACCTCGTTTCGATGGCTGTTTGTGTGTCCCGTGCAGAGTTTGACAAGATCTAATCAATAACTTTTGTCTCTCCACAGGAACGGCCACACGTAAGGAGTAAGCTAGTCGGTTACGGTGTGGAATTGGCGTTGAAAAGCATGGAGTACAAGGCTATGGATGATGCGAAAGTTGAAGGTGTGTTTCTCCGTACTTCTCTTTTCATACACTACAAGGGTGGATCAACATCTCGGCCCAAGATAGAAAGGCCAGCTATCCAGGTCATGCTTTATTGCTATTCAACGTAATCTCCCCTTTAATTTGAATGCAGTTAGTCCAGAGGTGTTCACTCATAGCCGTCCCGCTGTGGAGGTCGAACGCTGTCCCTCTAAAAACAGCTCCACAGCACTGGTCAACTCCTCACCGTCGGCAACTCTGTGACTCCCGTGATGAGATTTTAGTTTAGGGAACCGCTAAAACTCTGATGGGGCCAGATCTGGTAAATACGCGGGATATGGCAGCAGTTCGAAGCTACATGTGGCTGCTCTTGACACGGTCACTTGAGAAGTGTGAACAGATGCGTTATCATGCGAAAGAATAACCTTCTGCGAACTTCCCCTCCGTTTTTCTTTGATTGTTTGTTTAATTTGGCGTAATTCTGAAGCATAATACTCCCGCGTGATTGTATGATCCCTCAGCAAGAAGTCTATCATGATTATACCTTCACTGTCCCAGAAGATAGAGGCCATCACCTTTCCCGCGGACTTCACCTGATGGAACTTCTTTGGCGCGGAGAAGCACGGTGCTTCCACTGTTTACTTCCTCTCTTTGGTTCTGGTTCACATTGATGAGCCCATGTTTCATTCTGGGTAGCAAATCTTTTGAAAAAAATGGGGGATTTGCCTTGAAACTGACAAAAGTTGCCTCGAATTTTCCAGCGTGTTTCATTTCTAATCGGACGTCAACATTTTGGGCACTCATTTGGTAGTCAGCTTTCTCTTTCCCAAGATGTTCGTTGTAAACCGCATGCATTGAGTCATGACTAATGCCAATAGTCTTAACTATTTCACAAATAGATAACCTTCCATCATTCAAAATCACTAGGTGCATTGCTTCCATTGGATCATCACACGTCGGATTTCGGGCGACCAGACCGTACTCCCCCTGCTCGTTTTTATATTCGCAGCCCACTCCTTAACAGTGGAAAAAGAAGGTGCGTCCTCACCAAGTGTCTCAACCATATCAGTATGGATTTCCTTTGGCATCATACCCATTTTCTACAGGCACTTTATCACAGTTCGATTTTCAACTTTCCATTTTTAGAAATTGGGCCATCAAGGTCAGTTCAATAGAACATCACTTGCAAGCAAAGATAGAAACTTGAGACTTGACACTGATATCTCCAGGATATGATACTTTATAAAATAATCACACATTTCATTTAGTTCACTTCTTGATCGGGTCGAGAACTTTTTGATCCGCCCTTGTAGTTAATCGCTGACTTGGGTTTGCCTTCTGCCAACTTCTGCTACCTGACTGCCGTTGATCCTGCACTGATGATATCATTTCGAATGGTAACAACACGTCTGCAATCAAATTGCCCAGCTTGGCAAACACCACAACACAGAATTGATAACTTCTTGTCTACGTTCATTTCGTTCTTGCCCCTTCCTCTCTGCCCTTGCTTCAGCCACCGCTACCGAATCGACAACAAACGAGCCTCCAGAGGAATCCGTCGTCCAGGGTTTCAACTTTACCCAACTGGAAAAGCTGCACCCAGAACTCACTTCGGAGTTGAAAGCCTTCCGCGATCATCTGGTGACCACAGATGACGAACTGCACCCCATTAAAGCGTGGCAGTTCCGCGATTTTGGTTTCCAGGCTAGCCAAGCCGTGGTCAATGCTGCGCACCAGTCATCCGAGGACACCCCAATCACCGAAATAAATCAGACCCACTCAGGTCTGGTAGCGCTCAGGGATATCAGTCAAAATCTTCCATCGCGCGCTAGGTAACATATTTTTATATTACTGATGGGTAGTAGTGAGGATTTTGATACACTTCAGCTACTTCATCATAGTCACTCCCAATCGGCAAGCTTAGGTTAGTATGGAAAAGCACCAGACGCCGGCGTTTCGACCTTCTGGGTCTCGCCAGTGGTGCACCTCCCGGCAGACCCCTGTCGGCTTCCGCCCCCATAACTTCAGCATACCAGCAGCTAGTGCCACTTCGCCATGGGTGACAGCCGCGGACCTGCGTGATTAGCAGTTGACGATGATATAACTCGGCTCATCTTCCACTGCCATGCCAGTTACGAACTGTGTCGGCGTCTGTTGCTTTTCCAGACTAGCCTAAGCCTGCTGATTGGGAGTGACTATGATGAATTAGCTGAATTTCTTTGTGTTGCAATTTATTCTTCACTGTCATCACCATCGTTATCATCGTCTACTTTGCACATTATCACGCTTTTATGGTCGTTTGGAGTTTGATTATTTGAGTGTCTAGCACTCATTGGCTGTACTGGCCTTAGTCTATGGCCAGCTTATCTTCATTTGTGATATGTTATGTCTACTCCCTTTTGCTCCATCATCTCGTATTATCACCTGAATATGAGGATTTCGTTCATGATAGCTTCAACTCCCGCGATGATCACTAAACAGCTGTAGCATGATATAAGCGAGTTTTTCGGGGCCAATAGGGATGAAATAACTAATGTGATGAGTTTATCAGAATTTCCTTTGACATTTTTAAGGGGCAAAATCATTGCACTTAACAGTGACTCACCGCCGTCCTTTGATAATTGCTAACAAAAAGCATCACAATGAGGTTGGACCTTACCTTAGTGCGATAGTTCACGTCCCTCAGAGATCCATTGAGCTATGCTGGGTGGTGCTCTTTTGCGGCTTCAGAGCCACTCATACTAGATTGGTCAATGGTTAGAGGCCAGAAAAACACAGCCTCCTGGTCCTCCAGGTTGGGGTTGGAATGACGGTGTCTCCTTATTCCTTAAAACAGACTCCTTGTAGCCCAACGCCAAAACCGCTGCCTTGCGGTCGGGTTTTTGAAGCAAAGGCTTTGGTTGAGAACCTAATCATTCGTCTGCTAGGCCTGGGCAACATGACAGTATCCTGCCCACGCAATACGATGCCTTTTTCTTCAAACTTTTTTGATGTTGTGGCCGTCGCAGAGGATAATATACGCCCCCTATCTGCTGCATCAAACAGGGTGGATAGGGGTTTGGATGCTACTGCTCAAACTTTCCCGTCTTCTTATTCACCCTCTCACACCTTTTCACCCTTATGGTCCCTTTCCAACGTCACTTATATCTCCCCAGTTTTCAACCCACAATTCTTGGCCAACCTTGCTTCGCTAGGCGTTTATCTTCGTTTCAACTCCCCTACAAAACGAGGAACGTCACTTCTGCCCTGTCCACAAGCCCATGTCCAAGCAAGCGGTCCATCCCAGTTCATCGACTTTTATTTGGGGCCCTCGATCCTACTTCAGATTGGTGTGCCTCAGTGTACACACATTACTACAGATCGGTCAGCGGACAGCACTTTCCCGAATTTCAGAAACCCTCTCCATCAGTATCTGCTGCTTATCGGAGATCTGTTTACAAGACTCGAGCTCAGTACTCACTCTGCGATTCCCTTCAGAGGACACCAGCAGTGTTTTCGCATTGCGCCTATCCGGTGAAGATGCAGATTCGAGTACCGGCCAAGCTGGTGCTTGCATTGCACTGAGTCCCCGGGCTGAAGCTGCTCCGGTTGATTGGATCCCAGTCAGCAGCCGGATGTGTGCGGTCCGATTGGCCGTCACATTCAAAGCTCCGAAGTCGCACGGGACTAATAGGTGTCTATTTATCATCGCTGCCTACGTGCCCACAAACTCTAGCGATGATTCGGTAAAGAACGACTTCTACCGCCAATTGAACGATCTCCTTCGTCACAGAAGAAACATGGATACTGTTGCGCTGGCGAGGGATCTGAACGCACAAGTTGGATAGTTGTCCACTGATGAACTGCATGTGGGTTCTCAGCTCGGTGTCGGCTCCCGTAATGGTAATCGTGAGCGGTTACTTCATTTGTGTGAAGTTGCCCGCTGATATCTTGCAAGCACTAACTTCCGACACAGCACCCGCCGGAGGGTGACTTGGCGCCCACCAGCTTTAGACGCAAATCGATCAGATTGCAATCAGTTACCGCTGGAGAGGCTGCGTCCAGAACTATCGTTCGATTTGGAGCACATGTATGCACACCGACCATGCACTTGTATGTGCTGACATGCGGATGCGTTGTGGCGGACGCCCATGACGACGCTGTGAGCGTATTGACATCAACCAACTGGCGAAGCCAGCTGTTCTGAATGCATATGGAAATACGCTGACATGGGGGTTGAGTAAGCGCCCACTGGAGTCAATTCCTGGTCACTGGTTGCAAGTTCACCACACGTTACTAACAGCAGGCAACTCCTCATGTGATATGTCTAATAGCCAACATGGACATTGGGTCTCTTCGCGGTCTCTGGAACTCGCCGGCATATTCGGCTGGAAGCGAACACAATGAAACTCGCAAAGAGCTCCGAGCAAAACTCCGTGCTAGTCTGAAGAGAGACTGCGGATGCTGGTGGTCTCATCTTGCATCAGAGATGGAAGTGATTGCTGCCATTCGTAACCATCGAAAGTTATTCCGTCAGATACGGGAAACGGGCAGCAGGAGACCTGGTGTTAATGAAGCAATTTGTGAGGAGAGTGGACAGCCTATCCACAATTTGTCAAAACGTTTAGTGCGTTGGGATGAGCATTTTGAAAAGCAATTTAATCGTTCGGAATTAATCGATTCCTTACCGGCCAGTGATCGCCCTGCTCCCTGGGCTGTCCCTATGCATCCACCCTCTCGCTCAGAAGTCGAACGTGAGATCGGACTGTTGAAGTTGAACAGAGCCGCGAGACCAGACGATCTTCATCCAGCTCTTTTCAAATTCGAGGGCCCTACTCTTGTTGATGATTTACACGAATTACTAGTGAAACTATGTGAACCGGAAACTGTTCCAACCGACTTTAACCGCTCCGTCGTATTTCCCATTTTCAAAGGAGGCTCCTGTTCGGAATGCGGTAACCATAGAGGAATCAGTCTGATCTCCATCGCCTCCAAATTGCTTGCCTCTGTAATCCTTCACAGTCCGACTGACACTCGTAGAAGCGAGATTCGTGAAGAGCAAGCCGGGTTTCTTCTGGGTTTGGCTGCATTGGCGACATCTGCACTTTACGTCAATTGTTGGAGCACCGTCACACATATTGGCGGCCCACCGTAGTCGTGTTCCTGGACATCAAAGGTGCCTTCGATTCGGTTGATTGATGTGCCCTTTGGGACTGTCTACTCAGGAAAGGTATGCCCGAGAAATATGTAAATGTTCTCCTTGCATTATACACGCGTAGCACGGTCAGAGTGAGGGCCCTTGAATATCTCCGGCGGTGTGAGACAAGGATGCCCGTTCTCACCTTTCCTCTTCAACTTCGCTATTGACGAAGTCGAGATTGCATTTACAGGATACGACTTAAAAGTTGTGGAGCTTCTCCTAGAAGAACGCCTTCTTGACTTGGAATATGCTGGCGATATCGCCCTCATCTGTAACAGCTCCCAGACGTGCCAAGCTGCACTGGACAGATTAGCACTGGCTGTCAGCCGCTTCGGACTTTACTTTGCACCCTCGAAGTGCAAAGCTTTCCTCCAAGATTGGCATGGATCGCCTCTTGCGCCGACCATTTTGGGGATCAGCTAGAAGTCGTTCAGAAATTCAACTACCTGGGAAGTTGTACCAGCGCCCTTTGGATCGAAGATGAAATCACGAACCATTTAGCAAAAGCTCCAGGTGCTTTTGCTAGTCTTCGCCACCTATGGCGCCGACGCTACATCACGCTTACTCTGAAGGGTACAGTGTACAATGCGGCGATACGTTCGACCTTACTGTACGGTTGCGGAACCTGGTCCCTTATATCATCGGACATAGTTACTTTCGATCATCGGTGCCTTCACAGTTTGGCTCACATCTGGTGGGAACACCGCGTGAGCAACGAGCGCGTTCAACGCCTTGTTTACGGCACAGGAAAAGGAAGTGAACCGCTCAGCACCTTCATTCTACGCACCAGACTCCAATTGCTCGGCCACGTGTTACGCATGCCAGCCGACAGGCTCCCGCGACGTGCGTTGTTTGCGCGACGGGGATGTGGATGGAAGAAGAGGAGGGGTGGCGAAGCAATGACTCAGTCGAGAGGTATGAAGGTCCTCACTTCTGAGCTGGCCTCGGTTGGAGCGTAACTACTCCCTGTTTGGGGTCCAAAGGACGATGAACACGTCTGGCTAGATATGCTTGTGACCTGGCTAGTAGCCGACCACAGTGGCGTTTCTGCTGTGCGTTACTTTGTCCCTCCCCATCCATTTTAGTCTCCCCCCAAACCACGATCTCATTTCGTAACGTAATATAATTTTAGATATTCATTTTTCTCATTGCTAGTAGCCGGCTGGTAGCTTTCCAGAACGATGCCTATCCATTGCTAGTAGCTAAGCTGGCATGCAACCGTGTATTGCGGCACAGTAGCTGAGGTGTTTTACACCTCTAGCTAACGTGTAGAATTATGATGATGAACAAAAACCATCGCCGTGAGGCGCCTTATTCTATTTCGAAACCACCAGTTCGCATCGGATCCCCTGAATCCTTGATGTTTCTACCTCGACGTTCCATGCAGCTTCAAGAGAACCAGCTCATTATATCACAGCTCTGCTGATGGCAGTTGAACTGTTCGCTGAGATTGGCGATTTTGTTGGAAACGTTTCGTTACCAATCGAGGTGACATCATCATGGTGTAGCTGTGGCATGCGGTAGCGTAGATGAGCCTCGGTGAGTGGCTCCTCTACGCTGCTGCACGCCACAACTACACACTGATGATGTCACCTCGATTGGTAACGAAACGTTTGCAACCAATTTGCCAAGCTCAGTGAACAGCTCAACCGCCATTTGAACAACCTGACCTACCAGTCTTCAATTCTATAGCCATCTGTGCTTAATTAGTATTCTACGTACCCAACCCAACGTACTGGTCAACGTGGCCGTCAATTAATCGGTTATCCATCTGCCCTCGGGCGTCTTTCGTGGACCCCTGCGTCCACAGAAATTACTATCCAACTGTTTAACAACGATGTTCTTGGTGCCGATTCGCGTCATCAAGGGAACAATAAGGCACATTAATGAGGAAAACACGGTGAAATTACCCAGGATGAATTATCAACAGTTGTGTGCGAGAACTCGCAGCATACTTACCACTGGCTCCGCGACTGTTTGTTCTCTGTATATTTCTTAAGTTGCATGGTTATCTCCTAAAACTATTGAACTTCGTGGAATAAATTTTGCATGGTAGCCCCTACACTTCATAGCAGTTTTAAGCTTTTAAGGTCCCTCGCATCCATGATGTACCGCTTATCTACAGCATGACCGACTTTGATAGCGGTGCACGGGTCGCCAAACGTTTCACCTTCGTCAATCTGTACACACTGTCGCCTCTCATCCTTTCGTTAGATAATTCTGTGTTTGATTTTCCGCGAACCGATTTGAGGGACACGATCATCACTTTTTCACCGTGCGATGATATACGGTAACAGTTGACTTTGTATCCCTCCCTTGCTTCGTCTCCCATTCAGACTTATAAAATCCACATTTTTTGCTTCTGGACGCCCTGCCATCCATCGTGGATATGTCAGTAGTCTTGTCATATCCGCACGCTTAGTAGTAACCTGCATAGCAGTGGATGATGGGTCGGACTATACTGTAGTTGGATTTCAATCCAAAATGATCAGTTATCGTCCCCAAGGGTGAGTGACACAAGATGCTGACTGAGCCTACAAACCGCAAGCAATCGTGGACTTGCGGTCCCCTGAAGAGGATTGAGGGAATGCGGGCCACTGGCAAGTTCTAAGAGGACGAAACGGCCGTCTTGTGTTTTTCTGGCTTGGCAGTTGGCCTATCTTGCTTGCCAGATTCGAGCCTGCGTAGGTGACCGGACAACCTTCGCAGTACTCTTAGTCCACGCGCGACTAGTGGCGGCTGCATAACAACGAAACGTCGGTACGGCGTGCCACCATACTGCCGATCTCTTTATCTGGCCAGTAATATGATTGCGATGAACTAGATACATGTCACATCGGTCACACCGTTCGATGGTGCTCCCACCAATTCGGCTCCCCCTCGTCTAAGGCCGCTTACGGAGTGAATGTGCCTCTTCACCGAAACCAGGTCGGCTACTTGGCGACCATACGTGTACTACCGCGCATTACATTTTTAGTGTACGCACTACGTCAGCTGTTCACGATTCTCTGACACTATTAGGATATCCGTCAGTACAATGATGGTAATGCCACAAGTTGGGCAAGTGTTTCGCAATCTTTCACAACCGTATGACGAGTTGTGGTTAAAGCTGATCCCATTCTAATCGTTTTTGTCCATGTGCCCCTCCTTTCTAAGCCGCCTTATATCCACCACTGTCTCTTCGACGCTGCGTGACGAGGTAGCGGCAAACCAGATGTTATTAAAAGCCATCGGCATCAATCCTGGCCAAAGTGTCCTATTTGTCAATGGACTCCTTTTGTCGCCGTCGGTGGACGTCTTTGCCTTGTTGGATGTACTTCGGGAAGAGTCGAAGATCATGTCTCGTCTCCACAATCTCGGCATCCCTGTAAGTTCAATATTTTCTGTTTTCCTTTTTATATTCCGCCTCTACCTAGCTATTTTCTCATTTCAAATCATCGAGGCAACCTCAAAAGCTTCACCGATTTTGGCTTCCGATCCAGAAAAAGCTGCCAATATGAATGAATTACCCAGCCGGCCCGGATCCTTAAGGATCGAAAACCTACCTTGCAATCCGAGCGCGCGGATTCAAGCCTACGTAGGGGACTGGACGACCCTCACAGTATCTTTAGCCCGCCTGCGATCGGTACTGGTTGCGCGGCAACAAAGCATTGGTACTGCGTACCGGCGTGCTGCTGATGTTTTTTTACGAACAATTCAGTGTAAATCCGTTTTTAAGCCTACACTTTGTCTCGCAGTATCTTTGTAGGACTTCTCGTGTGACGAGGTTCCAGTTCCTACTTGCTTGTTAGACGCTGTCTGCTTTTCCAAACGAAGCCATCGAGTTTTCCGCCACTATCTTGTGGTATTTTGTCGACCACGTGGCAACAGCACCGGGCACCAGAAGTTCGGCCGCATAGTGACTCCCTACTATTGAGATGAGCACTACCTTCCCTCTCTTACCTGACGCTACGGTTTACATTGTTATCACCGCGATGACGATTGCGTTCGACTCTCAGTTATCATCTCGTTATTTGTTAGAATTCTTGCACTGCTCTGTGACCAATCCAGTTCACCTCTTTCTTGCACCCAGTTGGAATGTGAACGGAGTGATCGATCGACAGAAATCTCAGCGGCACAGCTACTTATGTGCATTCCGGTTCAGCGTTATGAGTGAGGCGAGGTCATACTAAAAATATCTAAGGTTTGGCCGACCTTCGCTCCAAAGCAGCTCAGGGTCCAGAATCATAAATCTATCGTTACGATACTTAACAATAAACAGCTCGCGACGTTTGTGTGAGGGACGCTGCTCACGTACTCTGGTAGCCTTGTGGTTAAGATTTTATTCGCCTTTCAAAGTAGTTTGTAGTACCCGCCGTGTGGTTGGATCGCAACACGCAGTCTCCATTGAGACCTTGGTTCACTTTAGAGTAGACCACGGTCATTCCGACCACAAGGACTGTATCCAAAATGGAGCTGTTTCTGTGTTGCTCTTCCCAACACTGACATCCCATGACTGGTTTCATTCTGGGTTGGAATCATCAGATGGAGATAGCCTAAGCGGGCTTGATCTCCGTGCCTAGTGTTTAAAGGCTGCCGCCTTGACCACTCTGTCACTGAGATTCGTGAGCAACGCTTAGCACAGTGTTAAAAAAATTAGAAGTTGGATTTAGAGTCCCCGCCGTATGGTTGGATTGCGACGCGCAATCTCCAGCGAGACCACAGTTCAATTTGGAGTAGACCTCGGTCATTACGACAAGTGTTGGGCGGAGCAACACCGAAACATTCTCACTTAGTCGTCTTTGTTTTCCAGCCCCATCTGTGTGAAGGTCAAAGCCAGTCTTATTGTTTAGGTTTGTAGTGAGTAACTTCAAGTAAGCCCCAAATCTTTCACTACGTTTGATTCTCCATTCGTTTGTTCTTCCTGAACGCCAAATGCTTTTTTAAATATATTTTCCTCTTCCAGGGCGAGAAAATATCCGATCTGCTTATTCCTTCTGGTACCTCAGGACAACTACAATCTGGCGAGACCAGTAGTGTCCCCGGCATGAAACACAGTTTATCCGGGCGCTTCGCGTTAGACATATCCAGCAGCCCCATCCTGTACATCAACAACCTGGAGGCGGATCCGGCGTACGCGTATTGGCCAGATCTCATGCGCGGTCTGTTTGTACCAGACTTTTTGGGTGGAATTCCCCGTATTCGGAAGAATCTGTACCACGTGGTACTAGTGGTGGATCCGGCCTCGCCAAACTGTATCGAAATAATCCGATTAACGGAGTCATTTCTACTACACAAGGTTGCAGTTAGGTGATTCATTCGATTTACTTCTGTTGTTAACCTACTGCATATATTTCCTATCCTTGATTGCTTTATATGCACTGATCTTGTGCGTCATTTTTTCTCTGGCATACCCGCTTACTTGTCCTGCATGTCCTACAGGAACGCAGTAATGGCCGCGGTCCTCTACTGCACCAGCAACAGTACGGTGGTACCTCGTACAGATGGTTCGCTGCCACACCGGCACCTGCAGTTGCATGCCGGCTAAGGATACTGCTAAGTCGACGGCACGTAAGATTGCTCAAACCGGCCAACCCTCATTTATGTCGGTGCGATTTTATTCCTTCGATCTAAAGATCTCGGTCCTCATCCGATTTTTGGGCATCACCACCGGTGACCGAAGGAATCACACGCTTGTCTTCTACTCCTGTGGTCACCGGCTCGTGCCTGCTTAGATGACCGAGCGACCGTCGCAGGATCCTTGGCCCACGCGCGACGTGGTGGTTACGTGGCATCGAAATGTCAGTACGGCTTACTGCCGATGCTTTTCTTTCTTTTCATCGTCACCTTCGGAGCATTTCTCACAAATATCGGAGCCAAAATGTCCAGGACGATAAAGTATACACGCAAACAATGTACAGTGGTTATCATCTTAGCTCTCCAGATCAGCTGTCCAGATTGATTTATGTGCTTTGATTTGGACACTCTCTACTTTTGACTTCTTGCCGTAAACTGAGAACGGCTTTTTTGTTTGCCAACGTAAGGTTTGTGGAGGACATCCATCAACCTAGTGGCGGAAAATAAGGCCTCTGAGAAAAGTTGCCTCTTGTCATTTTTAAGACTGGACTCTACACGACCCATCTTGTGCTTGGCTCAGGATGTTATACATGATGGTCCCCAACGGACGCTCGCGATGTTTTTACTATCGTATCCTGACCGGAGTGCCTGCGTAACGTCTATACACTGCTGACGTGTTTTTGGTGTAAGCTTGATTTTGACATTTGATACTGAACTTCGCGAAAAACTTACTATCTGTAGCCGTCTCTCACATTAACCGGTCGTTTATTGAATTCTTGCTATTTTTACCATTATGTTAACCAGAACTTAGGGCTTACAACGCTACCACGCTGTCAGCTTCATAGCTGAAAATCATGAATAACGCCTGTATCCACACACAATCCCATTGACCGTACTCGACAGAATTTCAGCACTTTCAGTTCGATTTACTCAGGGAAATTCCCGAAACTGACGACAAAATGTCGCGGACCACTTTAGTCAATTTCATCCATATCGTTGGCAGATAAAGGATTCAGCCAACTGGCTTGTAATCCACACGTCACTGCCTCTAGCCTACTGTTGGTTGCTTTACGGCAATTGATTGGTACAATGTACCGTTGTACCGCTACCACGCTCGTTTGTAGCGATTTATTTCCTACGCTCGCCCATTCTACCTAATCCTTATGCTATGACCTCTCCGATGTGCGTATCGTTCAGCTTACCTCTAGTCACGTCTCTTAATCACGTGTGTTGACAAACTATACTTCCTCTTTTGCATTGTGCAGGTTTGGTTTTCTATGGTCCATTGACCCATCGATCAACTCTCCCAGTCTAATGCTGGTACGCATATTCAACTACATATCCTCCTCCATCAGTCATGCTAGTGAATCCCCTTTGCCCACCAGCGTTCCTGGTCTAGGATCTCCCGGCGCAATGGCGGCCTTATCATTTCTCACTGAGCTGTACTCAGAGATGGAACAGACTGGAGGATCTCTAACAATGGAGTTCATTCAGCGACGTTTCGAAAAACTGTTTCCAAATGCTTACGTGGAGGATATCACGTCCCCAAATCCAGGCGAAAGCGACTATGATACTGAACTCAAGGTTCGATTGCTGTTTCTTCCCATTATTTCTGGGTTGTTTTGCCTAGACGTAGCTACCGAACCGCCGGTGGCTGATAACATGCACTTAATTGTGGCATTAGTCTTTCACCTTGCAGTTTCTTCTCTATCTTTTAATTATTCGTGGTTATGGGTTTGCATCAACCAGGTCCGTTGCGCTATCGGTCCTTATTTTGCGCCGTCATCCGTTATTTTCACATTTTCAGCTTCATGAAGCATTTCTACGCCGTTCTGGACTATACTCTGTCGACAAAAGCACGCCACTGATACTTTTCAACGGTGTCATTTTCGACGTAGCAGGTATGCGCAAAATGGGTGGATTCGAAGACTCTGTGGTCAATTTGTGCCTGGAGGAATTAGTACGCGTCCAGCACGCTGTGTACCACGGCCAAATGACCGGTACCGAGTCCGTCTTCACTTTGTATGAAAAAGGTGGATCATTGGTCTCGCGATTCAACGCTCGGGTTCTTTCACTGTCAAACCCTGTCGATTCGAACCATCCGACTTTTGTGGATTTCGGCCTCGACGAACTGGCCTGGCCGAAGAGTGAGTTTCATTTTCGCCTGGGCAGTGGTCACAGCGTTTGGGTTTACTGTTCGACGTTTTTCGAGTTACCTTTTTGGATTGCATACTATTTGCAACAAATCTAAACGGAAATATCAAAAGATGTGAGATGACCCGGGCCTTTCGTGCTTATCTCCTTAGTCACGTACAAGGCAACTAACAATTTGAAAACAAACAAGCTCGGATGCGGTCAATTAGTGGTCAGCTGATGGCCAACTATTACTGCGACACTACCGCGGCAGGCTCAATGTTACTGTCAACTACTTCTGTACGGACGGAGTCGGCCGCTCGCGATCGATTACGATGGCTTCAAGTAGCTTGAGTATATGCAGCCTTTGGTTACGCATGAGGACAGTGTTTGAGTCACTTGGGTTGACCAGGTGGCCAGTGTGCAGTCGTTGCCTCTTGATTGCCGGAGATATCCTGCCTCTGCATTCACCTGGTTCCGACGCCTGAGATCCCATTCACTTGCGGAACCATTTAGGGATGTGCTCATCGATCCTGATGCCTAGACTTCGGTCAGTGCGCCCAGTGTACTTATCTCCATAGCTACAGGTAAATTTGTATAAACTGTGGAACATGCACTGCTTGGTCGTCGTTGTCTTCAATGAGCACATAAGCAATGATCTTGTCGATGTGAGCAACCGCAACTCTGCCGCATTATACACCTTTTTCAAAGAGGCACTTATTCGTTTCCTGGTGACTTTTATGATGTGGTCACCTTTGAACGGCAGCTCAATGAAAACCGGCTTCTTCTGGACAGTCATCATTGGTTCTCGCTTTGTCGTGTCACAGACGCGCTTTATGCAATGTAAATGGTAACCATTGGATTGCAACGTGTCGAACAGAAAATCTCTCTGCTTTAAGTGTGTCCGGAGTACAAATTAGTATGGTTCGATGGAACAATGTCCGGACCGGAGAATATTTATGTTGTAATGGCGAGAAGCTTTTAACATGTAGATATCGACCCGTCCAAGTTGATTTCCGGTATACTGACCGCTTGATGGAACCCTCCGGCCTTCGTACGAGCAAAACCTCTAGGTATGGGAGGCGGTGGTCATGCTCATCATCACGGGTTACAATGAGGTTTGGGTGCAAGATCGATGCCCATCCGTTACTGGGGACTCAACCGGTATGCCACTGTTGTTTTTTCTTCTTCTTGTCCTTTGTATTGCGACACTAGCTGAGGTGTTTTCCACCTGCAGCTAACGTGTATAATGAATGAATGACATCTTTGAATTACGATACCGTTCAGAAAGAGGCAATGGTTAGTGACATTAGTTAGTGGCGAGTCACATCCGCCACGTCGCAGGGTTGTTGAACGGACATATTTGGCTTTTTTCAGGATAACGCTTGCTAAGCGAAAACCATCACGTCTTAGACCCATTCGCTTTAAGAGGATTATCCCGAACTACCTAGCTGGCACCAAGAGGAGGTTGTTCGGCAAACTAGCCACTGTGTTGGCCCGTAGCCTTATGGATCGCAGGCCTTCCTTGTAATCAGAGGGCGCGAGTTCGTGTCTGTGCAGGGACCGGGTGAGCCTCACAGTATCTTTAGCCCACGTGCGACTGGTGGTGGTTGCACGGTATCGAAACGTTGGTACTGCGTACTGGCGTACTGCTGATGCCTGTGTGTCAGGGGATATTAAGAGATCGATGGTCTTTGACCACTAGTGCCCACCTAGTTCTTCTCACCTATGAAGGTGGGAGTGCTGAATGACAAATATTCAAGGGTGCCAACTGCTATATGATATCTTTTTCTGCTGCCTCGCCTTTCACCTCTAACCACCCACATTGGGTAACCTTGCACCCACCTTTTCTTTTATACATCGTTTTTGGACGCCCTGACCACATAATTGAAGCAGCAGAGAATACATGTATGTTGTGATATAACAAAATGGTGTAACCAAACGAATCTGAGCACACCGATGTGATCCGTCTTGGTGGGTTCGAACTCGAAGCCTACCACACCATTTACTGATGTATCCTGAATCTGCCACTTTTAGTTTCTCATTTCCACCCGCTACTCTTTTAGATGTTAATATATCCCTTTCTATATTTTGCTGATTGGTCTAACTTTCTTGTTTTCACTCGGTTTGACTGTATTTTTTGAGAAACGTGTCGGAACAGCCAAATCTATGTGTACGGTTTCTCGGTAGCACAGGAAATGTACTTTTTCATTTTAAATTAATGTTTTCAAACACTTCAGTTGACACGGACGATTGTTTTAGGTGGATTTGTGAGTGTGTTCCATCTTGCTTACGCCATTATCTTACCAGCCATTTTAATTCTTCCCTTCTTTTTTCCCAGCTGGTACCGATCCGAGTCCTACCGAATTGCTAACCTATTTTGTCGATCACATGCGCTACTTTCAAAAAGGAGGTTGGTTTATTTTCCTTTCCAACCTACTACTGTCATTTCTAATCTCTATTTGTCACTTAAGTTTTGGATTCGCCTGAGGGTTGGTCTTCTCCCATCCCTGCGATTGAAACTGTCGCTATCTTCACCTCAGTATGCCAACTTGTGAACATGTTTTGTGTGGATTTGAAGGGACCTTCTTATCCCTTGTCAAAATCCCACAATACCGAACGCAACGAATCCACTGAGTACTAAACTGGGTACCATCGATCGGTCCTTCTCGCCTTCCAGGCTGGATTCCATTTGACTCGCCTTGTGTATTGGTTCGCAGTGGACACTAGTGACGTGTCTCTACCGTCTCTTAGTCGGACTGCCTGTTTACAGTATGTTTGGTGCTGGTTTATCTACGGGGTAGTGGCTGAATCTGACGTGGGACAGTGAAGGCCGCAAGGAAGCTTTATCGCCGATACCGCCTTATCTTTGCACTTTAGCCAACTGTTTATAACAATATATTATTGACAAGGTGTAGGCACCTTAACCTTAAATGTTTGCTTAGGGCATTGGGATTTTACGCTAAGCCTGGCTGGGATCCTAAGCACGATGTTTGGTTGGACACACTTGCTAATGTCGCAAGGAGCCGGCCCTAATGGCGTTTGTGTTGTGAGTTCCTCTGTCCACCCCCCTCTTGCTTAACTTCCCCTTCCAATCACGATCTCATTCGTTAGACATAATATAACTCTCTTTGCGGCACTATAACCGGCTGTTAGCTCTCCGGAATGATATCCATCCTTTACTGGGAACTCAGCCGGCGTGTCACTGCTCTTTTCTACTCTTTTGTATTGCAGCACAATAGCCAATATTTGTGACGTTGCTCTAATAATTGACGAAAAGTGAAGATGTGGTCGATGCAGCCATTACGCCGACGAAACCCGGCTTGCTCCTCACGAATCTGGCTTTCGCGAGCGCTAGTCATTTTGTGAAGCATTACAGAGGCAAGAAATTTGGAGGCGATGGGGATCAGACTAATTCCTCTATGGTTGCCGCATTCTGAACGGGAGCCTCCTTTGAAAATGGAAACAATAACGGAGCAGTTCCAGTCGGTTGGGACAGTTTCCTGTTCCCACACCTTTGACTTCTGAGCGAGTGGGCGGATGCATAGGGACAGCCAAGGGAACAGGGCGCTTATTGGCCGGTGAGGAAGCGAATAATTCCGACCGATTAAATTGCTTTTCAAAATGCTCAACCCAACGTTCTAGACGTTTTGACAAATTGTGGATAGGCTGTCCAATCTCGTCACAAATTGTTTCACTAACACCAGTTCTCCTGCTGCCCGTTTCCCGTATCTGACGGAATAACATTCGATGGTTACCAATGGCAGGGGCCACTTCCATCTCTGATGCAAGAAGAGACCACCAGCATTCGCAGTCTCTCTTCAGACTAGCAAGGAGTTTTGCTCGGAGCTCTTTGCGAGTTTCATTGTGTTCAGTTCCAGCCGGAATATGCCGACGAGTTCCAGAGACCGCGAAGAGACCCAATGTCTATGTTGGCTATTAGACTTATCACATGAGGAGTTGCCTGCTGTTAGTAACGTGTGGTGAACATGCAATCAATGAGCTTCAATTGTTTCCAGTGAGCGCTTACTCAACCCGCATGTCAGCGTATTTCCATATGCATTCAGAACAGCTGGCTTCGCCAGTTGACTGGTGTCAATACGCTCACAGCGTCGTCATGGTCGTCCGCCAAAACGCATCCACATGTCAGCACATACAAGTGCATGGTCGGTGTGCACACATGTGCTCCAAATCGAACGACAGTTCTGTACACAGCCTCTCCAGCGGTAACTGATTGCAATCTGATCGATTTGCGTTCAAAGCTGGCGGTCGCCATGTCATTCTGCGGCGGGTGCTGTGTCGGAAATTAGTGCTTGCAAGAAATAAGCGGGCATCTTCACACAAATGAAGTAACCGCTCACCGTTATCATTACGGGAGCCGACACCGAGCTGAGCTCCCAGATGCAGTTCATCAGTGGACAACTTTCCAATTTGTGCGTTCAGATTCCTCGCCAGCACAACAGTGTCCATGTTTCTGCTGTGGTGACGGAGCTCGGTCATTTGACGGTAGAGGTCGTTTTTTACCGAATCATCGCTAGAGTTTGTGGGCGCGTAGGCAGCGATGATGAATAGACACCTATTAGTCCCGTGCAACTTCGAGGCTTTGAACGAGTCAGCCAATCGGACTGCACACATCCGGCTACTGATTGGAATCCAATCAGCCAGAGCAGCTTCAGGCCGCGGACTCAGGCCAATGCCAATACCAGCTTGGCCGGTACTCGAAGCTGCATCTTCACTGGATAGGCGAAATGAGCAAATACTGTTGGTGTCACCTGAAGGGGATCGCAGTAAGTATTGAGCTCGAGTCTTGCAAACGGGTCACCGATAAGGAGCAGATATCGATGGAGAGGGTTTCTGAAATTTGGGCAAGTGGTGCCCTTTGACTGATCTGTAGCAATGTGCGTACATTGAGGCATACCAGTCTGAAGCAGGAGGCTCCAAATTTAACCCGATGAACTGGGGTGGACCGCTTACTTGGACATGGGCTTGTGGACAGGGCAAGAGTGACGCTCCGCGTTAGCATGTGGGTTGAAATTAGAAGATAAACACCTAGCAAAGCATGTTGGGGAGGGCCAAGAATCTGGGGTTGAAAACTGGGGGGATAAAAGTGAAGTTGGAACGGGACTATATGGGTGAATAAGAAGATGGGAAGGCTTGAGCAGTAGCATCCAAACCCCTATCCACCCTGCTCGATGCAGCAGATAGAGCGCCGTTGATTATCCACTGCGGTGGCCAGAGCATCAGGAATTTTACGTAGGGTTCTTAATATTGCGTAGGCAGGGTACTGTCAGGTTGCCCGGGGCTAGATGGGAGAACGATTAGGGTTCTCAACCAAAGCCTTTGGTTCGAAAACCTGACTGCAAGGCAGCGGGTTTGGCGTTGGGCTACAAGGAGTCGGTTTTAAGGAATAAGGAGCCATCCTTATTCAAATCCCAAACTGGAGGACTAAGAGGCTGAGTTTGTCTGGCCTCATCGACCAATCTGGTATGAGTGACTCTGAAGGTGCAAAAAGCATGACCCAGCATAGCTCAATGGATCACTGAGACACACAAACTATCGCTTTATCGATGCCTCGCTGCCGCATAACCATCTTCAGTCGCACCTGGGGTACAGATACTACGAGGGAGTTCCGGTCTCCTACGCATGCTCGAATCCGCGCCCACAAATTACAAGACAGGCTTGTGTTCCGAAAGGCTACTGGTCGGCTTTTTATCTCGAAGCGTAAATACACACGGTTTGAGAGCCCAACGAGAAGCGGAAGCGTAAGTACCCAAAGAGTGGGGAATATCGTGACAATAAGGCTGTGTTTCTTCCAATGTGTATCTGCCCCATCGCTCCAGCTCCGGTTTTTTCTCTTATGTTTGTCGATAGCCCGTCAGTCCATAATTCCCATTCACTCACAACCATCCCAGTGAGGAGCGCCGGGCTTACCACCAGCACGGGCTGAGTCTGGTTGTTGCCCAGTCACCATGAACTAAGGAAGTGTGCATTTCTTGGGGTCATTATTTTCCGTTTGGTGAGCGCCGCGAAATTTACTTGATCCCAGTTGCTTTCTGTTACACTCTGTGCACATCTCGGGGCGTTCTGAGACTAAATTTCAGAGCAAGTAGTAAAGTTCTGTACAACTCTATCGAATTTTGAAAAATCAAATGCATTTCATTGCGAATCGTCAGCGGTTGTGTTTGTTCAGTTAATCGTCTATTATTGTTCGGTTAGAATAATTCGTATTGGTGTCATTACTTTCGGGTATAGGTTGTGATTTTTGTATTGTATGTGCTTTTGGAATTGGTGTTCGCTTTCTTTACGGAACTAATGAGCAAGTGGAAACTGAGCCATGGATTCCATCTGACTTCTAACTCGGTAATCTAAATTTGCTATGCTTTTTTTATTTCTACGATTTGGCCGCCATCGCTACCCACCCCCCTCTACAGTGCAAGCAGGGAACGATATCATACACATTAAGCGTCCTTTTACCTCCTCTGTGGTTCCGAAGGTTTAACTTGTCAGTCTTATGCTATTGGGTAGCAGTTCAACTCAGTTTGACAGTCTTTTGTGTTCTTTTGTTTATTATTTCTGCTGAAAATCCCATGTCGATCTTTTGGCTTTTTCATATGTTGATGTACTCATGAGTAGGGGATTTTGATATAATTAATTGAGGCTCTTCGCAGCCAGCTTCCAAATCAGATAGTTGTCCATATGCCCGTAAAAGTACTAGACTTCAGTTTCAGCCTGTTGGACATCATCATTAGTGTGCATTCATCGGATCCATCAGGAATCGGACCTATGACTACCATCGGCTTGAACTGCCAGTCAGCAGCTTATGCCACTAGGCCACGGGGGGACAGCTTCGGACCGTCATGATTTACAAGTAAACTGCGATATAATGCGTCTTATCCTTCATTGCCATGCAAATCACAAACACTGCAGAGGACAGGGTTGACCCCGAAAGACACGACGTCCACTAACAGTAGGTCCGAGTCCTGATGGATCCGATAGATGCGCACTACCGACGATACCAAACAGGCTGAAACTGCAGTCTAGCGCTTTTCCGGGCATGTAAACGACTATTTGATTTGGAAGCTGGCTACGGAGAACATCAATTAATTTTTCATATTTGCTTTGTGGTTAGGTTTCTATCATGTGCCCTAAATTGTTGATCACTGTACAACCATGAGACTCTTTATACAATTTAACGCTCTTGCTGGAAGGCACTAACGAAACCTCTGGGGATTATCAATGTCTCTCCCAAAGGTAGCGTCCTATCATTTGTACAACTGAAATCTCTTGATTTGTCTGCTCGCAAACAGCCTCTCCGATGGTCTTGAACGCCGTATGCTACAGCTGATTGTCTCGCTTTGTTGCAGAACTCAGTCTTTCAGTGACAAGTGTTTACTCCGAAAAGTCAACTCAGCGATCATTACATCATGTTTGGCAAACCGAACTCCTCTATATAAGTTGCACGTTTACATCCATAAATAACGACTCTTCTGAGTCAGTGGGCTTTCTCCTTTGACTCAGTTAAACAAACTGCGAGTAACTCACGTGAATGACTGCCAATCCGTGTGCTGTAGTCGAATCCGTTACGCTCGTCTCCTATTGGCTGTCTGGCTCACTCGGTCGGTCCATCCGTTCACTGGTATGACACTCCTAACACGCGCTTCTCACTAAACCTCAATACCGTATTTTGGTAGAGCTGATCTTGTTAATATATGTGCCATCCCTCACTTTCACTGCTTCTGTTCGCAAGTCTGTGGGTGGTGACAAACTTTCCACTCGCTTCTCCACGCTGTGTTCTTACGCATGTGGTCTTGATTACCTGCGGTCATTCGTGCCCATTCCACTCCACAACAGACTTGGAAGCTGCTTTAAGACCGGTGACTATCTGGGTTGTCATCGGTGACCTGGATCACATCTCCACATCAGTCGACCCTAATCGGAGAGAGGAGCTAAGGCGCCATTTCGCGCTTGCGGATGCTGCGATTAGCTACCTACGATCAGCCCAATCGTCAAAGGGTCTACGAATCGGTTTCGTATTCAACCCACCGTCAGACGAGCCTACTCAATCCATAGCAACCGGAGATTTGTGGGTCACGCGCGCCCTCCATCTCCTCGGACATCCTTCTCGAGTACCAGCTCCTAAGGGTTCACATCGGCTCTCGGACCCGCTGATCAAGTACGCAGAGCAAATGCCGGCTCGCAATTTCGCTTTTCGTTTGTTGAGAGATGCCTTGGATGTTCTGAATGGCAGTGCAGTGTATGCTCACCTATCCCAGCTATCTGTCTCAGTGAGTCTATATTCCACTCTTCCACCCTCTCCCCGATCTTTTGAGCACTTCGCATCCACCCATTCACTCTCATTTTGGTCCGACAATTCGTTAACTGGTTCTTTAACATGCGCTCTTCTACAGGGTGTCAATGTGAAGTCACTGGAGCAGGTTGTTCAAGGTGTTGATCGGGCCGAATTTCTTCGTCTCCATGCAAACTTTTCCCGCCATGTTCTCGGTCTGAAGCCAGGTGAACGTGCTATTGTGGCTAACGGACGGGTACGTTACATTCGCTTGCTTTACTACTGTGCAATGTAATTCAAACTTGAACTCTCTGAACACGGGCTATGCATTCAACCATATTTCGTCCCTCCCCTCAGATCATTGGTCCCCTTTCTCCGGAAGAGGAGTTTAGCATCGATGACTTTCGCCTCATCGAACGGATCGCTCTAGATTCTGGGGCTGTACAGCTGGCTGACACGCTGTTGGAGCTGGTCGGCGACGAATTGGGGGGTCCGGATGCGGTCTCCGAGTTGGTCTGGCAAATGTCGCCTATTCTGAACTCAAAGAAACAGACACAGACATCTTCTGTCACTGATATGGTACGTAGCTTTCTGCTTATTTTCTCTGTCACAATATTCGGCTTATAAATGCAGCGAATGTTTTAAAAGTTTAGTATATGCGTGGAAATAATACTGTGATCGGTGACCGCAGCGTAACCTTTCTTGAACGTTTTAAGTGTGGTTTGCAAGTAGCTTGTTTCTGGTTGGGATTTTCCGCCAGAGGTTTCGAAAACAACACGATATATCACCTGGGTTAGATGGCAGTTTAGAAGGGAGGATACGTAATAGCATCGAACAGTCAAAGCACATGGAGATAAGGCATTGCGAAAATCCTATTTCTTAGCGTATAAGTTATGCGAGCTTATTTTGACATATTGAATACTATTGACGCACTAACTGATCATAATAATTATCGTTACAACTTGCCATTCAGGTTAGGTAGGAGTATTCTTTCCGTAAGTTAAACTCTTGTCTCTAATACAGTTTAGTCAAAAAGGTCAGGCGCCAGTCCCATAAATCACCCCAGACTCCGAAGTGAAGCGAACCAAGTGTTCTTGGTTTATACGAACCTTTGATTTACGAACTAAATTATACTACTGTTAATTTATGAGTCGGTCATTATTGTTAATAAATTCTTGAGCTATCGCATTAAATCTTTTATCAGTCCAGCCACCCAACTTATGACGAACAACGAGATGAAGTACTTGCGCTTGCTAAGTATTCTTTCCTAAGCTTTCCGTTTAGTTCATATTTATTTGCGATTTAGATATCCCAGATGCTCCTTCTTTTACTATCCAGTATCTACGGAACCCTCGCGTTTCGCGCCGGCCTAACCCTGTTTGTGCAGTTGCTGCTGCCTGAACTCACGGGCCGGATCATCTATTTGACTCTGTTGTATTCACTTGCTCTCCAAAAGCTAAGGTTTATCAGTATAAACTATTTGGCCCTCTGCCCTGTTTTCAACCCTCATACCGAGCATCGTTTTGGCTGCCTTATTAACCCTGCATTTTTCACTTTAAAGCCAGAAAATGTATCATCAGCAATACGCCCACATACGGTGCTGACGCTTTTTCTGCCACGCGACCAGCCGGAGTAGCGCGAGATTTGGGTATGCCGCGAAATCGCTCCCACCTACGCATATACGAACCGCTGACTTCAGCATTTCGACCATCTATCGCCTTAAATGGTGCAGGTCACCAAGATATTAATAGCTACAAATGAGAAGCCTGATATTGAATTTAGGAACACCACAGCGCTCCTGATCGTGAAGTATTTGATAAGGTACCCAGCCACTGACGTAATTAATCCTGAAGGACGACAAGCACCAGGTCGGCTCAACATTTCTGGGTGTTTGCTCATGCCACTGGCTTGCATCTGCTTAGACGTGTTACTGGCAAACAGTACTCTCTCCACAGCAGTTCACTCGCATATGTGCGGGGTACCTAGCCTTGCTAACAGAGTCGATTCGATTTCAGCATGCACTTTAATGAGACACCCAGAGCTCCGCTGCCAACCTCCAAATATCCAGCTTCTGCATTGCTCACTAGGTTCACCCACTAACTATGAACAACACTACATATAAATCAGTTCTCAAACGTGGCCATTTTATCCCCTTCAGTCTTATACACAGGAGACTTCATGGCTGACATTTTTATTCGTATACTAGCAAAACAGTACATATGTGGCGTGTTCTTCGATTTGAAGAATGCATTCGACTCAACCAGTTGCCCAACATAATTAGATTATAGGCCAGATAAGCTAACTGTCACTCTAGTAAATCACCAGACTGCTGTCTCATCCTCTTGGTCATCGTCACAAATCCACCCTAACAGTGTTAAATGCCGTGTGAATTCGCAGCTACTGCTAGGGAATTCCTGACTCCTGGTGGCCAATCACTGCCCTCTGCACGGGCAGTAACCAGCATGGCACTGGTGAGGGGGCGGTGCCGTATCGCAGTTAGATTTCAATGCATAATGATCACCTACCGTCTACTTTGCTGATGGCGAGTGGTGCATACGACTAGCAGTCACGAGTTGGTTTCTCTGAATGGAATTGAGGAAAAACGCACCACTGAGGAGCCACACTAGGGCGAAACGTTCGTTTGGTGCTTTCCCGATTGGCACTTGACCCATTTAGTCTAAGTGCAATGAACTAGATAAAATCTCATCAAATCTCTACCCATGAGTAATCAATCGGTTGTTTTGTACTCTTCAATGGACTTACCTAGAAAGTTGCGCCTCTGAACTGTGTGAACATCACAAACCATTGCTTACCGCCTTTCCTTCAACATGTGGCCTTCGTCGACGCGGTTTCGTCTCTGTTCAGCTAGAAGTCCTTCAAAGATTCAACTACCTCGACAGTTGTATCAGCGCCATTGGAATCGTAGGTGAGGTCGCAAATCGTATAGCATAACCTAAAGGCGCTTTTGCTAATCTTCGTTACTTATGGTGCCGGCGCAACATCACTCTCACCCTGAAAGGTAGCGTGTAAAATACAGCCATACTTACGGTTGTAAAACTTCCCCCATCAGTTCGGCAGAGATAAGTGGTTAGTTACGTTCGGACATCAGTGTGTGTTTTTCCTCCTTAATTGTGTATTGCTTCAATAGTCCCTTGTCTTTTAGTTACAACTCACATGCGAACGCGGAGCGTCATTCCTGCCCTGTCAACAGGCCCATATCCAAGCAAGCGGTCCATTCCAGTTCATCGGCTTCCATTTGCCGTCCTCGATCCTCCTTCAGATTGGCATGCTTCAGTGTTCGCACATTGCTTCAGGTCGGTCAACAGGCAGCACTTGCCCGAACATTAGAGACCCTCTCGGTCGATATCTTGCTGCTTATCAGAGACCCGCCTGCAAGACTCGAGCTCTGTGCTCACTCTGCGATCCCCATCAAGTGACACTAGCAGCGCTTTCTCATTGCGCGTATCCGGTGACAATGCAGCTTCGAGCACCGGCCAGGCCGGTGTTGGTATTGCTCTGAGTCCCCGGGCTGAAGCTACTCTGGTTGATTGGATCCCAATCAGTAGCCGGATGTGGGCGGTCCGATTGGCTGGCTCGTTCAAAGCTTCGAAGTCGCGTGGGACTAACAGGTGTCTATTCGTTATCGCTACCTATGCACCGACAAACTGTAGCGATGACTTGGTAAAAGACGACTTCTACCGCCAGCTGAACAAACTCCTTAGCCACAGAAAAAGCTCGGACACTGTAGTGCTGGCTGGGGATCTGAACGCTCAAGTTGGAAAATTATCCACAGATGAGTTGCATCTGGGCGGCCAACATGGTATAGGCTCCCGTAATGATAACGGTGAGCGGTTACCTTAGTTATGTGAAGATGCACGCTTATTTCTTGCGAGCACTAATTTCGGACACAACACCCGCCGGAGAATGACTTGGTCCTCACCAGCCTCGAACCAGCTATGGACGCAAGTCGATCACATTGTTATCAGTTACAGCTGGTGAGGCTGCGTCCAAAACTGTCGCTCGATTTGGAGCACATGCTTAAACACCGACCACTCACTTGTATGGGCTGATCTGCGGATGCGCTTTGGCGGACGCCCACGACGACGTTATGAGCGCATTGACTCCAGCCAACTGATGAAGGCAGCTGTTCTGAATGCCTATCAAAGTACGCTGTCATGCGAGCTGGATAAACGCTCACTGGTCTCATATTCACCAGGCAACAGGAAAATCCTCATTTGGTATGTCTAAGCACCAACATGGACATTGGGTCTCTTCACAGTCTCTGGAACTTATAGATGCTCCCCGGCATATTCCGGCTGGAAGTGAACACAACGGAACGCGCAATGAGCTTCATGCAAAACTCCGTGCTAGCCTGAAGTGTGACCGCGAATCGTGTTGGTCTCATCGTGCATCAGACATATAAATTGCCGCTGCCCTTGGTAACCATCGAATGTTATTCCGTCAGATACGGTAAACAGGCAGCAGAAGACCTGGTGTTAGTGAAACTATTTATGGCGAGAGTAAACAACCTAACCTTAGGCTGAGCCCTTTGAAAGACAATTTAATCGGCCGGAATTGTTAGATCTCTTGTTGGCCAGTAATCGCCCAGCTCCGTGGGCTGTCCCTTTGGATCCACCCTCTCGCTCAGAAGTCCAACGTGAGATCGAAGTGTTGAAATTAAATAAAGCCGGGAGACCTGATGATCCTCCTCCAGCCCTCTTCAAATTCGGGGGACCTGCTCTTATGGATGATTTACACGAGTTACTGGTCAAACTGTGGGAACAGGAAACTTTCCCAACCGATTGGAGCCGCTCCATCATGGTCCCAATTTCCAAAGGAGGCTCACGATCGGAATGCGGCAGCCATAGAGGAGTCAGTCTGATCTCCATCGCCTCCAAATTGCTTGCCTCTGTCATCCTTCACAGATTGACTGGCGCTCGTGAAAGCCAGATTCGTGAAGAGCAAGCCGGATTTCGTCGATGTCGGGGTTGCATTGACCACATCTTCACTTTGCGTCAGTTGTTGGAGCACCGTCACATATATTGGCGGCCCACCGTTGTCGTATTCCTCGATATCAAGGGTGCATTCGATTCGGTGGATAGACATGCATTTTGGAACTGTCTACTCAGGAAATGTGTACCTGAGAGACATGTAAATATTATCCGATCATTATATGCGCGTAGCTCAGGCAAAGTGAGGGCTTACGGCAATCTGTCGTCGCCCTTTAATATCTCCAGCGGTGTGAGACAAGGATGCCCGCTCCTACTTTTTCTACTTCGCTTTTGATGAAGTCATGAAAGCCACGTTCACAGGACACGAGTTAGAAGGTGTGGATCTGCTCCCAGGAGAACGACTCCTTGACTTGGAGTATGCTGATGATATTGCCCTAGTCTGTGACAGCTCACAAACGTGCCAAGCGACACTGGACAGATTGGCACTAGCTGTCCGTCACTTCGGGCTTTGCTTCGCACCCTCGAAGTGCAAAGCGTTTCTCTAAGATTGGTCTGGACCGCTTCCTACTCTAACCGTTGGTGGAAATAATCTAGGCGTTCAAAAATTCAACTACCTGAGAAGTTGTA